TTTTTCACAGGGCTAAATTAGTAATTACCTAAAGTGTTATTTTTAAAAAAAAATTACCCAAAAGGGCTATTCTTGCAAAATATCCGTTGGGCAACAATCAAATTGGAAGCCGACCGTTGCCAACGACCAAATGGATTAAAAAAAAAATCAGAAAATAGCCATTGAACCGGTCTGGGACGGGCCGTTCCGGTTAACCGGTTCAACAATGTTTTTCCTTGACCGGATTTGACCGGTCTGGTTAACCGATAAGAAAAATGTAAACATCCCAACCCCCAAACCCAGCCTTACCCGATCCCCTACCATCGGTCCGGACCGGTCCGAAAATGGGTCAACACGCCCGTTAAAGACCTATGCTATGAACTAAGAACTATTGTGCTTCCCAATTATGTTCAAAGAGCAAATAATTAAAATTTCTACTCCATAAACTAATTAAATTAATCTCCACCCAAAAAGGTATTCACACCTTAATTTTTATTATACTACTTGCTTTCAAAATTTAGTATAATTTAGTGTAAATATAAAAATATAATTTTCACAATCAATGCTAGTGTATTTTGCTTAGCAAAGTAAATTTAGGTCTCTGAAATTTTTTTGGCAGTACCTTAAGGTCCATATTAGAGGAAGATGTTGTGTCACACTTGTCTCGGACGTAAGATGATACTTTACTGGGGCCCAATTGACATGAAAGTATTCCTAATGTTTCCGCCACGTGTCAGAAAATCCAGTAGTGGGCCCCACAATAAATTGCTGCAAAATTTCAGTATATGTACCTTCCTTCTTCCTCACGAGACGTTCGTGTTCTTTCCTCTGTCTCTCTCAACAAATTCTCCATAATTTGCTTTTTAAATAGGAATAACATTTTTTTTTTCTTTTTCTCCATTCTAATTTCGCAAATAATTAGAAACCTCTATTTTTTAGTATCTTAAGAATTAATAATTAAAATAAAAGAGTTAGGTATATTCCAAGATTAATTTTTTTAATATATCTGAAACTTAATTACTGTGTCGAGGACTAGATATTTTGATGGTCGTTCACAATCTCAGGGCTTTCTCAGATCCGAAAATCACTCTATTTGTAGCTTCGGACTAACCCATTTTGAAATTTTTCTTTTTTTTTTCTGTTTCGGTTTTATTTCTTGTTGCATTTACTGTGTGATTTGAATTGAAATCATTGGCTTTTGCATCAAGATTCTAACTTTTTGAATCATCTTTTCTGTACATTTTCTCTAGTTGAAAAAAATAAAATTTTACAGTATTTGGTTTATTATTCTCTTTTTAAATTACATTAATTTCACTTACATTCTTGATTTTTCTTACAATGTGGGTTGGTGTTAGGTGAAGGTCCTTAGATTCTGGGATCTGGGGTTGGTGGGATTCTTGTTTTACACTGTTCTTGCAAATTTTCCTGACCCCTTTTGGATCCTAAAACTTACTAGTCTCTCTTTGAGTTATTGGGATTCCGATCCATTTATTGTTTTTCAAGAAATCTAGTATAATAATTGTTGTACTGATTGGTATTTAAGAGAAATGCTGATTGGAATTCAGCTAAATGTCAGAGACATTGAGTGAAAATGGATTTGATTTTGTGTTAAAAATAGGATCTTGTGGGGAGTCCATAGAATCCTATTTAGGAAGAGGAGGAGCTTTAAATTTGGGATTCCATGGGCTGTGTTTGCTCAAAGGGGGTTTCTACTAAAAGGCGTGGCAGGAATCGAACTAAGGAGAAAGAAAAAAAGAAATCTTCATCCGAAAGACTTATTGCATCTTCTAAGGAGGATGTTTTAGTGGAGGTTGATAATGGTGGCATTGATGCGAGGACGAGGCTTATATCAACAGAGCCAATTGAGAAAAGTGCAGGTTCCACCCCACCAGCTTGGGATGAGGGAGAGAAAAAGCCTATAGTTCTTGAGAAACCTGAAGTGCCACAGGTGCAAAGACGGGCAGCAACAGACAGCGCTGAGGTTGGAGGACAACCTCAGATCAATAGAATATTCAGTGTTAGGAATGGAGTTGACGATGCACAAGTTGTTGCTGGATGGCCATCATGGTTGACAACCGTGGCAGGTGAAGCTATTAAAGGCTGGGTTCCTCGGAAGGCAGATTCATTTGAGAAGTTGGATAAGGTGAATTTTAAGCAAATCATGCAATAGCAATTTCATTTTGCTTCCAATTAAGTATTACTGATACTTGTTAGTATACCTGCTTTTGTTCCTGCATTTTTCTTCCCATTACAATTGACTATTATCTATAAAAAATGACAATGCAGATTGGCCAAGGTACATACAGCAGTGTATATCGAGCTCGAGACCTGGAAACTGGAAAGATTGTTGCATTGAAGAAAGTACGATTTATCAACATGGATCCAGAAAGTGTTCGTTTTATGGCCAGGGAAATTTTAATACTTCGCAGGCTAGATCATCCAAATGTTATGAAGCTTGAAGGTCTTGTGACCTCTCGCGTCTCAGGCAATCTGTATCTTGTCTTTGAATACATGGAACATGACCTTGCAGGTCTTGCGGCATCACCAGCTATCAAATTTACTGAATCTCAGGTGTGTTCTTTCATTTTCAGTCTGAGTCGCTTAGCTATCTTACGAACAGGAGGCAATGCTGGATGTTACACACACACACAAAAAAAACACATATATGTATATCTTTGTGTATGTATATATTAACATCACATGCAATTAAATAGAATTACTTGAAATTTCAATGATGAACCGAAATAGAGATGCACGAACTTAAGATATTAGACCTGATCTCGCTGGTGCAAATAGCCAAATATCTATTGTGCTTGAGTTCTACGTCGGTTAAAATATTTCCAACTCCCATCATCCCTTTTTGTTCAAGGGAGAGTATGTTCAATTTTCTGGCGATGTGTTTTAATGATTGATGATTCAAATTTGGAGAGAGGCAGCTAGATACTTGCCCTCAAATAACTTAAAGAATCAGTTATGCACGACATTTATCCTGGTAATAAAGTTGCTAAGGTTAGACCTGATGGAATAGTGAAAAGTTTTCACTTTCTTTCTTATCACCTTTTTATTTTTATAGATATCTCAGATGAAAAATATTAAGGGATGAAAAAGGGGAAACACATCACTTTTTGGACAGTTGGAAATATGCATGATTCTAGTAATTAGGCATGTGCCTGACAGTGGTATAATTAATTTTTCACAAGTTTTATTTATTTCGAACCCTCTATGTAAAGATTCCTCGTTTTAAGCATATGTGAGAAGCTATTTAATTTGTGAAAAATGGCGAATCTCAGTAGTAGTGGAAGGCATGTTAGATGGCTATAATTTTGGGTCTATAGACTAAATGCAGAAAGTCCTGAGAGAAGTGGCTTGACCTTGCTCCTTCCTCTCTCGTCATTTGAGGAATAAATGGTAAAAGGGTTTGGGAGAAGAAATCTTGGAGATGTATGTTGCTCATCAAAATTGTCTTAGTTTGTCTGATTTTGTGTCTACATGTTTCTGGTTACATATGGTGGTTGCAAATCTTCTGCCCTCTTTGGTTTCAAAAAATGCTTCCTGTAATTTTGCAGATTAAATGTTACATGCGGCAGCTGCTTCGTGGACTTGAACACTGCCATAGTCGTGGTGTCTTGCACCGAGATATTAAGGGTTCGAATCTTCTGATTGACAATAATGGGAACCTCAAGATTGGCGATTTTGGGCTGGCAACTTTTTACCAAAACAATCAAAGGCAGCCTCTAACAAGTCGTGTAGTTACTTTGTGGTATCGGCCTCCTGAGCTTTTGCTTGGTGCTACAGATTATGGAGTGGCTGTAGATTTGTGGAGTTCTGGTTGCATCCTTGCTGAATTGTTTGCAGGGAGGCCTATAATGCCGGGAAGAACTGAGGTATGGCTAAAGTCACTGTGATTTGTTTTGTGTATTTGGTTGTAAATAAGAATAGATTGATATATATTCTCTTGTTAATAATTGACTAAGAACCTACCAATCAAAAAGAAAAAGAAAAAAAAGAACTAAGAACCTAAGCACATGTTAGGGCGAGCAAAGTTCATACTGCTCCTTCCATCTACCATATCTCTTGAATGAAGTGATACTTCTGAAGAGCATCAACCTAGTATTTTTTACCCATATTAGGAATATGTTTCCATGCGTGATCTTGATTGTCAAGTTTCTAACGCCACATGCTATTGTATTGCTGATGAACAATAAGGAATTTTCTTAACTTTTGCTCTTTAGATCCAGCCACTTGAGTGCACTATATAATTGTTAGTCTAGCAACAGTTTCTTTTAGATGAACATTGTTTTCGCCTTTAAGCACCTTAGGAAATTAGGATGGTAATAGTGATGGATCTCCAAGGGTACTCTTCCTAGTCCTTCCCCAAAAAAGAGTTATCACCTTTTCTATCAAATCTCTTATATCAAAACAATATGAATTAGAATACGCTTGCAAGTTACTCATACAAAATGCCCTAGTCACACTTTACCAAAGAAAGAAATGTATTAGTCGCTTCTGAATTTTGCTAACTGCATTGTACACCATTCTACATTTAACCACACAAAAGGTGCATTTCTCTGTATTCTAGCTTATCATTTCTCTCGGTGCATCTATTATCATTGTGTGCCTATCCGATGTGCATCTGTAAATGTGTGTTAGAAAAGGGGTTGTGGGTGGGCTTGTGATTGTCTCCTGGTCAGCATCACTTGTGGGTCAGGAAATGAATGACTCATTGGATAAGCTGTTATGCAGGTGGAACAGCTGCATAAGATCTTTAAACTTTGTGGTTCACCATCCGAAGAATACTGGAAGAAATCAAAATTGCCGCATGCAACGATCTTTAAACCTCAACAGCCATACAAGCGCTGCCTTGCCAACACATTCAAGGACTTCCCTGCATCAGCTTTAGCACTTTTGGATTCTCTCCTGGCTTTTGAACCTGAGTATCGGGGTTCTGCTACTTTGGCACTTCAAAGTGAGGTAAAGCCTTAGTTTCTAGATGGTCAATAACTTGTTTTATCAGTTCAGAAAGCTTTTTACTCCCTGAAATCAGGAAGTCAATTCATTCAGACTTTTCTTGCCATATTTGCAATCATTTCCCCTTTCTGGGATTTCATGGTCTTGTCGTTGTTATATCGGATCGTTTTATGCATATCGCCAGTAAAATGTTGTAGTTTTGGGTACGAATCATGTAGATACAGATATCTGACAACTAAGCATGGTCAGAATGTTCTCTTATTGATTTTATTTTCTGCTTATTGTTTTTTGCCTGTTCTTTATTTCGTTAACACTGTTTATATAATTATGTTCTCTGTTCCAGTTCTTCACAACGAAGCCTCTTCCTTGTGATCCGTCGTCTTTACCCAAGTATCCTCCAAGCAAGGAGTTTGACGCTAAGATGAGAGAAGAGGAAGCAAGAAGGTACTCATTATCTATTTTTTCCTTTTCGTAAAACTAGTAGATTGATTGATATACAATTTCTTTTAACTGCATATGCTTTATTTAATCTGATCTTGTCCTTAAGGATGTTTTGTTGCAATTTTGGATGATGATTCTCTACTTTTTGTATAAATTTGCATGTGGTAGTTTTCCCAATTCAACCAATAAACTTTTATTTCTTCATTGAGAAAAATTAAGTAGGATGCCTTGTGTATTTTCATTTCTCAGTGTATTGGTGATTTGACATCTATAAGTTCTTACTATAAAACGAGGTCTAGTAACTTTTTCTTTGCCCTAGCAAAAGTGTCCAGATTGCATTTTGCTATTCTGCTGGCATTCAGGTTTCCTGTCTGGCTTTCAACCATCATTTACCAAATCATTGAGCTGTTTTGTTTTGTCTTAGGGATAAAGAACCAGATAAAAGAGTTTATATTGCTGCAGTTGACTCAAAAGGACTTTTACCACTTGTTGCTGATAGCCAATATCGTGTTCTGGCTTGTCGAATGGTTTTATTCAATACACTTGCTTGAACTGTAGAGCATTTTTTGTTCTCATTGGACTGACCATTTGCTACATTTCTCCTAATTAACTAATATTCTGTTTTCAGGCAAAGAGGTGGAGGTACTAAAGGATCTGGTGTTGAATCTAATAGAAAGGGCGCAAAACAGTCAAAAGCAGTACCAGCGCCTGATGCTAATGCTGAGTTACCAGCATCTATACAGGTTTTTTTGCCTTAAATACTAATAGCATATTTTACCATGTTTTGTTCACCTTTAAGCTGAGTGTAAGATTTGCATATAACCTGGATTTCTGTGGCATGTAGAAGTGGAAACAGCAGTCAAATCCCACAAGCATTAGTGAGAAGTACAGTCGTGAAGAGGATGGTGGTTCTGGTTTCCCTATTGATCCCAGCAGAGGATCTCTATATAACAGCCATTTATCACAAGTCAGTGATTCTGCAAATTCCATAAACACAGATACTAATGGACTTGGCCCTCTTATGAGTTCTCAACGAGGATTTGATTCTTCAAGATTTGGAGAATTGTGTGCACGTGGGTCCTTCCGACCTCACGGTGCAGCAGCTCAATTGTCCAGGTTCTCCAATTCCGTTGCAGCTCATGGTAGTTCAAGATTTGATATGAGCAGGGATTCGCAGTGGCCTGAAGAGCACATGACTGGAAAGTATAACCAGCTTAATGATTCTGACTCTTCCTACTCTCTTTTGGGGAAAGACTCTCCCAATAAGAAGGACAAGCATTCAACAGGAAAGGAGTCTACAGCGGTAAGGAACTTTAAATTTGCTTTACGTCTTGGTTATTTTGACCCTTGTCTAGTAGTGGATTAAGGTTGAAATCCTGCACCTCACCAAAAACTTAAGAAAATGAAAAAAAAAGAGAAGAAAAATACTATGAAGGAGAAATACTCATATAAAGGAAGCTTCCATTTTCCCCTTTGACTGAAGAAGAAAAAGGGGAGAGACAGAGAGGCATATTGTAATGGGGAAGGGCGGTTGTAATGTTCTATCCAGATAGAATGCCTTATTCTTTTTATTTTTATTGCTATAGGGTTATATTCCAAAGAAGAATCGAATCCACTACTCTGGACCATTGATGCCACTCGGTGGAAACATTGACGAAATGCTCAAAGAGCATGAGAAACAGATACAGCAAGCTGTCCGGAAAGCTCGTCTTGACAAAAATAAGATTAAAAAGGAACACAATGACAATGGGCAAACAGAATCGCTCTTACACTATACAAGCAATGGTCGGTGATTTGTACAGGAGGAAAAAGGATACAACCTTTTGATGAAGTTCAGAACTCCAGCCAATGCTAGAGTTTCATGAATCAAGGAAGCAAAAACCAATCCTTCACTAAGAAAATCTCAGCAGCAAGAGAAACAAACGCATTACTCACATGGAACTCCCAAGTCTTTTTTGCCTATACACTAAAAGTAATAGCAGAATGCACATTATACAGTTCCAGAATCATATCCTAACTTTCTCCTGTAACGGCCCTTAGAATGAAAAACGAGAGCAGTTTTTGATGTTGTATTATGGGGGTAATTCTTTTGGTGGTGTATGTCTTGGGAAGCATTCTTGTACAGTTATACATTGGTCAGTTCATGTAAAGGATAACCTTTTTTCCCAAATTTGTAGGAACTTTATGCCTCAAGCCAGTATCTTGCCTTGGAATACAGATCTACATTAAATGCTCAAGCCTGTAAGATACATTAATTTTATGGTAGGATCTAACATTTAGTATTAAGTCATTCAATTATCTGTTTATAGATTCTTCTCTTCTTGAATCATGTTACTGCTGTTTTAGCAGTTAGTTTGGCATGAATCGGAACTTGGTCATCTTCTCTTCTTGCATCACGGACATTAACTGACTGTAATCTCTCTCTCTATCATGGGAAGTGTAATTCTACAATCAATCTAATGTGCATCAGCACCAAACTAGTTGAGATCGACTGTATGGATCTTCTACATGCATTCTACTCAATTCTGATTCATTTCATTTAATGCTAATCATATATTTGTCACTTAACTGCAATCCTACACTCAACAAATCCACACCATTTGTTCAAGATTCGATTATTATTAATGAGGGGTTAACAATGTGGCTCTTACCTCAATTTAACAGTTGCATTCAAGTTCCAAAGGACATGGTTAAGAAGAGAGTTCAGTAATCAGAATATGTCACAATTTGAAGTTTGATGTATTACAAGTTTTAGTCCCCCCTAGCTTTTGAAAGAACAACAAAAAGAAGTATGTGATTCGAACTTGTGATCCTAATTTTCTTGATTTCTTTCTCTTCTAATAGAAATGGTAAACCAACATACAAGAGAGAGAGAGAGAGAGAGAGAGAGCTATGAACATTTCTCCCAGAGTAACTGATGTACTACAAAAGTTCCATACAGACATTGAGTCGCTTTCCACTGATGACAACAACAACTACCCAGTATAATCTCACAAGTGGGGTCTAGGGAGGGTAGGACGTACGCAGCTTTACCCCTACTCTGGAAGGGCAGAGAGACTGTTTCGATAAAACATAGCAAATTGTAATTTTGAGTTGGTGAAAGGATGCTACCATTATTGTTCTTCCATAAAGCTAGTATGCTTCTTTCTTGCCCTCTTAACAAAGTGACATGCTTTCTCTTAATATCAACAATTCCATCACAATCAAGTAAGAGGTAACAGCACTACTCTCCACCCTCACTTTTAGAAACTCTCTACCAAACCTCTTTAGATCTACCAGCAGAAACTACATTGCTTCATCCAAAATTTTCTTAGTAGTTCTCTTGTCTTCATCAAAATCTTCAGTATATATCTCTCTAGCTACAAACAAAACTTGTATACTCCCAACTCAAGCATGAGACCTAAAACACAGAGTTCACTTAGCCTAAAGCTTCTTCTCATATGTGTTTTCATAGCTTTTTTACTTCTATTTATGTTGAGATCAAGATTAGTATCTTCCAACGAAAGTACAACATCTTCTGCTTCTTCAATTTCTCATGCTCTTTTACCAAGATCCTCATCTTCTTCTGGAGACAAGAAAACAAGAACTTGCTCATCACCACAATGTAATAAAATCCCATCTTCAGTAGCCAATTCCCTCATTCACTACACGACCTCAACCATCACCCCTCAACAAACACTCAAAGAGATATCAGTAACATCCAAGATTTTAGACAAGAAATCTCCTTGCAATTTCCTCGTCTTTGGTCTTGGCCATGACAGCCTAATGTGGCACACACTCAACTTTGGAGGGCGAACCATCTTCCTCGAAGAAGATGAAACTTGGATAGAGCAAATCAAGAAGAGATTTCCCATGTTAGAGTCTTATCATGTTACATATGACAGTAAAGTGAATGAAGCAAATGTTTTAATAGAAGCAGGGAAAGGACCAGAGTGTACAGCTATAGCTGATCCTAGATATTCGATGTGCCAACTCGCCTTAAAAGGGTTGCCCAGTGAAATTTATGACATAAAATGGGATTTAATAATGGTGGATGCTCCAACAGGGTACTATGAGGATGCACCAGGGAGAATGACTGCAATATATACAGCAGGAATGATGGCAAGGAACAAAGAAAATGGAGAAACTCATGTGTTTGTGCATGATGTGAATAGGAATATAGAGGACAAGTTTTCTAGGGAATTCTTGTGTGATGGATATATGAAGAAACAAGTGGGGAGATTAAGGCATTTTACTATCCCTAGTCATAAGAGCAACTTAGATATGCCCTTTTGCCCTTAGATTTTCTTAAAAATACTTTCTTTCTCTTTCTTTATTCGTTCCTTTTTGGGTGATCGCGCTGATACTCATGAGGATATTGTTTCTTTATTCAAATACTGTAATGTATTTGTCATCTAGGTGTAAACTTACACTTAAAGAAATCCACTTAAGTTGTTGAAGATTCGATTATAGTGGATACTGAAGTAACTATGTGGCTCTTACCTCAATTCAGCAGTTACATTGGCCAGGTACAGAAGGTGTTCAAGAGCAGCAAAGAAGAGAGTGTAGTGGTAAAAATGTCACAAGTCGATTCTAGTGTCTTACGAGTTCTAGTCCCCCTTTGATTTGAACTCGTGCTCCTAGCTCTCGTGAGTTCTTTCTCTTCTCTTGGCTACTGGCACAGCCAATGACATAGCATTCAAATAGTTTACTGAACCAGAAGTAGGAGAGGCAAAATTTCTCCCCCTGCCGAGGCTTGCACACCTCAAAAAATCTACCACGATGTAAATCCACTGTATCTTTATAAGGTAGGGGTAAGATCTGCGTACACACTACACACCACCCTCCCCAAACCTCATTTATGGGATTACACTGAGTTTGTTGTTGTATGTTGTAAATCCACTGTATGAATTAGAGATGGAAAAGGAAAGTACAAAAAAAAATATACTGCATGAATAGGATACAAACAGTAAAGAGCACGTTTAACAAGAAATAACAAACATTAGCTTAGTCATTGAATGGGAAATAAATACATTAATTTTCATTCCTTATGAGTTCTGTCCATGTTCAAAGGAATTGTTGAGAACATGTATCTGAGGCTTAGCAAATTGCCATCCTCTTAAAATCAACATCTTCAGATCTACCAGCAACTACATTGCTTCATCCAAAATTTTCTTATAAGTTATCGTCTTTATCAAAATCTTCAATATATATCTCTTTACCTCTGATCTTTAAACAAAACTTGCATACCTCCCACGTCAAGCATGAAAACTAAAACACAGAGTTCACTTAGCCTAAAGCTTCTTGTCATATCCGTTTTCATCGCTTTCTTACTTTTATTTGTGTTGAGATCAAGATTAACATCTTCAGGTGAAAATACATCATTTTTATTATCTGCTTCTTCAATTTCCAATGCTTTTTTACCAAGATCCTCAGCTTCTTCTGGTGACAAAGAAACAATAAGTTGCTCATCACCAAAATGTAACAACAAAATCCCATCTTCAGTAGCCAAATCTCTCATTCACTACGCAACCTCAAACACCACCCCTCAGCAAAAACTCGACGAGATATCAATAACATCCAACATTTTAGACAAGAAATCACCTTGCACTTTCCTTGTCTTTGGTCTTGGCCATGACAGTCTAATGTGGCACACACTCAACTTTGGAGGACGAACTATCTTCCTCGACGAAGATATAATTTGGATTGAAAAAATCAAGAATAAATTTCCCATGTTAGAGTCTTATCATGTTACATATGATAGTAAAGTGAAAGAAGCAAATGTTTTAATGGAAGCAGGAAAAAAACCAGACTGCACAGCTATAGTTGATCCTAGATATACAAAGTGCCAACTTGCATTAAAAGGTTTGCCAAATGAAATTTATGATATAAAATGGGATTTAATAATGGTGGATGCTCCAACAGGTTTTCATAAGAATGCACCAGGGAGAATGACAGCAATTTATACAGCAGGAATGATGGCAAGGAATAGAGAAAATGGAGAAACTCATGTGTTTGTGCATGATGTGCATAGGAATATAGAGGACAAGTTTTCTAGACAATTTTTATGTGATGGATATATGAAGGAACAAGTTGGGAAGTTAAGGCATTTCACTATTCCTAGTCATAAGACCAACTTGGATATGCCCTTTTGTCCCTAGATTTTCTTGAAAATGTTTTTTTTTTTTCCTTTTTCAGTTTATCTCTCTTTATTTTATTTGTTTTCTTTTTTGAGGGGTGAGGAGGTGGTTTGAGGTTGGGTGATTGGGAAGATCCTCATGATTTGACCAATGAGGGTATTGTAAACCAATATTACCTAAAAATTGGGAATGTTATGATATGAGGTATAATAGAGGCATTTGAGATTAGGGCTACTTTTTCACTTATTGTATTTTGATTTTGGTACAACAGAAGTCATTTTTGATTGGTTGTTATTGTTTTTTTGCCTATAAGTTTATGCCGGCTATACGTGCTTTGAGGGACGGACTCGCCTTGCAAAATCACCAACCAATTATCATTCTTTAGCTGTATTTATTTTAGCTTAAATGCTTTTATTGACAATTGAATTGAAACCCCTTCTGCTTGGGTCGAAAACGAAAATAAAAAATCTTAGTTTTAAGAGAAAAATCGAGAATAGTGTAAGTAATGAAAAAGAAATGACAAAATATTTTTTTGGGGGATATACAGTAACCACTAAATGTGAAGAAAAGTATGTGCGAATATTTCTTTCTTTGTATCAAGGGAATAAAGACTTTCTTTTTGTCTCTCATTCGTTTCCCTTTCTTTCACTTTCCTTTTCTTAATATCCTACTTTTCAAATTTAACTTATCATAACTCAAAAAAAGAAAGAAAAAAGGTCATTTAAATTAAATATTTATAGGATTTTTTTTAGAAGGAAAGGAGGTAATACAGTAAAACTCAAATATATGAACAATAATCCACCTGAAAGCAGCGAGAGAAATAGCACATGGATATAACTCTATGTATTTAAATTAGTTTACTAGGCTTTGGTCATTCCAATTAATAATTGGAGTATTAATTGTTGGATAGAGTTGGTGCGATGAATGATTTTCCCAAATTAGTAGCTTAGCCTTAGAGTGCAAGACAATTTTCTCTTTAATTAAGTAACTACTTTAATATTGACAAGGCACCAAATTTTAAAAATTATATATTTAAACTATCAAATCATTTCTTGAAAAATATAATTTAATTATTGTAGCAAAAAATTGGACGTGCAGTAGTCATGGTCACCCTATCCACTGCCAATTGAGTAGAAAAATCATTTTCTCATCACATGGAACACCAAACAAAGATATTGCGTTCGGATTTGTTTTTTTTTTCTTTTTATTTTTTTAAGGAAAATTAAGTTTGGAAAAACGTTTGGCAAACTTTGTTGTTTGGATTACCTTTTGAGAAATTATTTTGATTAAACATTTTTTTTAAAGTATTTTCATTTAAATATTCGAGGAATAGTGCGATTTGAAAAGGAAACGTATTTATCAAAAGTTTCAAAAAACTTTCAATCCAAAGTTGATAGCATAAATAGTTCAAGCTTTATGCTTCGCAAAATTTTTGTTAAGTACAAGTTTTGATTAGTAATAGGAATTAAGCAGAGTAATATATTATTTCAAGCAAATTGAACATTTACACTTATTTTCCTAATGTATTAACCTAAAGTAATTTCTTTTTTTTTTTTCATAATAGGAACATTTAATCGTTATACGATAAATACCCACTTGTACCTAGTATTTATACCAAACAACTTGGTTTTAGCAATTAAAATTTAAAGTGGTGATAGGTATGCATATAAAATAAACACATCTTGTATTTATTTATTTATTTATTTATTTGATATATACCGAGTGCGGCTAATTTTTATGCTGTTATTTGGACTACTTTCCCGATTCTAGAAACAACATTTTCCCTTTTTCTTCTCAAACTATGACTTTTATATAATGTTTAGACACTTTATATTTTTTAACTTATAAATAATAATTAAATTTGAGGATAGATAGAATAGAATTGACACAAAAAGAAAGAGAGATTATTTTTTGACAGATATATTATTTTCTTTCGTAATGGTGAAAAAAGTAATGGTTGTATTAGACAAAGATAAAAGGCACAATAGTATTGGAGGATCTCGAAAGTTTTTTTTTTTAATCTTAAACTTTTTAACTATTTGATATTAGAAATTTATTAATCTTACAAAATAATAAGATTCGAAATTTACTTTTTTTTATTCCTTCCCTCTACCTTGCTATTGGGGTGATTCGAACCCAGTCGCGAAAGGTTCACAACTTGTGCAACCCACTCTGGTCGGATTTGAAATTTACTAATCCTATTATTTGTATTTACACTTTAAAGGCGGAAAGATTCCAAATAACTTATCCACAATGTGATTATATTAATTGAACTAGTAAGATAAAGGGTTTTAGTTTAGATTTATTATTAAAGAATGGAAAAGTGGTGTAAGGGAATGAATTGAGAATTTCCTTCATCCTTTAACATTTTGTTTCAAATATTTTTTTTTTAATGCAAACAAAACTCCAAGAGTCAAATAAAGACATAGAAATCCTCGCATAAGAAAAAACCTTTTTTCTCCATTAGCCAAAAAAGGAAGAAGAAAACATGAGCAATGAATAGTACGAGATTCTGCAATCTTCTGTTTCTTAGATTTCATTCATCTGATTCTTCTCCTATTTCTTTTCATTTTTGTACTGATTTCGTTGTTTTTTGGTTGCAGCGATTACTTGTTCAAGCTGTTATTAATCGGCGATTCTTCTGTCGGCAAATCGTGTCTTCTTCTTAGATTCGCCGTATGTTCACATATTTTACTTTGATTTTCTCTGTTTAATAGTCCATTTGTTTAAAATGCGTATGATATTGTTTGATTTTCTTCGTTAGGGTATGAAATGCGTGTTTTTTTAGGATATTGACTTTTAATTGGTGGATATGAGTATCTGGTGATTTTGTTGTTTTTGTCATTTGTAAAAAAGAAAAGAAAAATGATGTTTGTTTTGGTTGATTATGTTTTAGGATGATTCGTACGTGGACAGTTACATTAGCACCATCGGGGTCGATTTCGTAAGAGTCTCCATCTCTCTCATTGTTTATTTCTCCTATTGTTTAGGAGCATTTGAAAATTGAATTTTGGACTATTATTTTTGTAGAAAATTAGAACGGTGGAGCTGGATGGAAAGACAATCAAGCTGCAAATTGTAAGTATAGTCTGAGTGTTGCATGTTCGTTCGCGTGAATGCTTTCAAGTCTAAGTTATAGTACTGAGCTTATGTTGAAGCTCCTCGGTCATCTTACAAGCCATTTGAACTATGCATTTTATCTTTATCATTTGAATTCCATAGATCTCAAAGTCCATTTCTGGGCTTCAAGCCTTGCAAGCTTACAAAGTAATGCGAGCATGTGATTGCTTTAAGCCACCAGATGCATCTTTGATGCCGTGTTTTTTAATTCTTAGTAGTTAGCATGTTGGCGAGTTTCAGACTAGCACAATAAAATCAGCAGTCACCGTTATTTAATTAAGTGGTAGTGTGTGCTAAAACATTGAATATATCCACTTTAACCTCTCCTTTTTATCGAGTAATAAAATTTTACTAACAGTGGGCATATCCACATTACCCTCTTATTAGTGATATCAGTGTTGGGAAGCTGGCATGTCCTCAAAAGCATAATGACTAGATTGATCAACTACACCGTTGGTGCTTGCTCTATGCTGATTTACATTTTATAATACATGCTTCCTCTTTTTCTTTTTGCAGTGGGATACTGCAGGCCAGGAGCGGTTCCGCACTATAACAAGCAGTTATTATCGGGGAGCACATGGGATCATTGTGAGATATTACATACATTGATTAGAACTTTCTCTGCCATAAAAAATTAGAAAAGTAGTTTAGTTTTAAATTTCATTACCTCCCTTGCATCTCATTCTGTCTGCAGCTTTTTGCTAATCCTGTATTGCTTATGATACTTCTTCTTGCATCCTAATGCCTAAGCTTGTTGAATCTTTTGAAAATGCAAACAATATATGCTTATCTTTCTCTAACTGTATCTTTATAAGGTTAAGATATACTGTCAATCACCCACTCTATGATCCTGGGGTCAATACTGAATCCCACAGCTGGTAAATTTCGAGTTTCAGTGAAGGTAACTGGTAGGCTAGTGTTGGCTCCGAGGTGTAATTAATTGACATTTGCTCTTCTTTCCTAGTTAATATCGACTTTGATATTACTCCCTCCATCCATATTATGTCACGGAGTTTGACCTTCCCAGACATGACCAACTGTGAGAAGACTAACACATTAGTAAAACCAATATTACTTGCAACATTTTGTCTCTGAACCGATTCCATACCTTTTTGGACTTTTTGGTTCTCCTTTATCCTGGCAACTTTTTAATAGTCCATTCTCTCACCTCTTCTTGTTATTGCCATGCCTCATAAGTCTTACAAGTCCTTAAATCACTTTTAAATATATGATGATGGAATTTTTGAAGAGGTAAGCATTGGAAAAGAAGAAAACCCTAGTTTCTCAAAAATAAAGATTTCAGTCTCCGTGTGATGTGCCAAAAAAGAAAGAGTGTCATATAAAATGAGATGGAGTAGTGATAGATTCTATTTCGTCCCATCATTGTTTTTGAAAAGTGCAGGATTTAATAACTGACGTATAAAATTATTAATATTAACTGCATATATTTTCTCCTTTTGGGGGGATTGGGAGAGTAGATGGTCTGGTTTTGTAGTATAATTGCCTATCTGTGATACACGCCATCCTCAAATAAGTGTGCCATCGATTTCTTTACAGCGGGTGCCATCGATTAATTAGATTCACGGCACCCCTAGTTGTAAATCTTTTTTGCTCTCTTTTCTTGTATCCTCTAGCTTAGTGTCATGGTCTTTTGAACATACTGGTTAAAGAAAAATGCTCTTCTTATTTGTGGTTATATTATGGTAGATTGTTTACGATGTAACTGAAATGGAGAGCTTCAACAATGTCAAGCAATGGCTGAATGAAATTGACAGATATGCAAATGAGAGTGTTTGCAAGCTTCTGGTGGGAAACAAATGCGATTTGGTAGAAAACAAGGTTGTGGACACACAGACGGGAAAGGTATTTTATGTTGCCTCTTTATCAGATAAACCTTTGTTTCTTTTTACTGATCGGGCTCGGTTTAGCCATACTAT